TTTGTCGAGAACCTTCTGGTAATCTCCCCTACAGCAGCAGTCTTTTTTAGTAGATCCATATGGTGTATGTATGATGCCCTTATAGTGTCCCCTTTGTCACCCCTAAAAGTTGATGCTAATTAGCATGATTGCTTAAAAAAAATACCCGGACCAAGATAAAAATTGGCTTTATAAGACATCAAATATATCTAAATATTTTAATAGATTGATTTATAGGACCAAACAATTGTGTGTCCTGTATAAATGTGTTACAATAGAATGTTAGGCCGTATTTAAACATCTGAACAAGTTTTTTAAGGATACTTTTGATATAAAGTGTCATCAATACGACATTTTTGAGAAATGTCCTATGAACACATCTTTTTACAGGACACTTGTTTTTATAATCAAATAATGTCATAAAACTACTAATATGATGCTCTATATCAGAAGTTTCTAAAAAACTTTTTAGGATGCCCAAAAGCATCCTATCAACTTATTGTAACACATTTACATAGGACCCATAATTGTTTTGTCCTATAAACTTGAGTTTTATCACTTTATGAAACAGTCTATTAGAATATTTAGGCATATTTGGCATTCTATAAAGCCAATTTTGTTGTAGTGTTGTAAAAGGCTAAAATGTAGTTATCTTACAGGACTATGGAGGCGCTAGAATCTGGTTTATTGACGCTGATTCCGGCAGTGTATTTGGTCAATTTACCAGAAGAGGTCTCGTAACCTGCCTCTGCACCAATGACAAATGTTGGAGTACCGATGGTAGCTGAAAGATCGATTGTAGGGGTTTGGCTCAAAGCAACGACTGATGTTAAAGAAGCATGATGATGGAAGTATTGAACTTCAAGCTGCAAAAGAACACACACTATTATAGTCAAAACTCTACCTTATGTGAATCCAGGTGGATTTTGTCAATTTACCAAATAGGAGTGTTCATCAATTGAAATCAAACGGATCTAGATTGATCCGATCATACATTTGATGTGATATTGCCAACCGATATAATCCAATTAAGATTGCAATCAAATCCAATGGATGATTGGATTGGATTGGATCAACTCCATAATTGGATATTATTACTGTTGGTTATTTATTGTATCAGATTAGATCCATCCAATATTTTGATCCAATTTTCCAACCGATTAATCTACCACTTCAACCGGTTATTCATTTATTTTTCTAATTCCTTAAAACACTACATAAAAATATCAACTAAAAATATTGTAAAACTTAATATTATGTATATTTAATGGGATGATAGTTGGATTGTCATTGAATGGTAATTGGATTGGATCAGTTTGGTTTTATTGGATTTTGGACTGTCATCCAAGAACCCGACAAATCCAATTTGGATGTTGGAACTTTGAATCCAATCCAATCCAATTATGGTCGATCGGTTTTAATTAAACTGGTTAATTCTAATTGGATCGGATGACTTTTTGCACATCCCTACCCCTAATACCAAGACTCGGGTTTTCAAGGATTGAAGGTATCCATTAGCATTATGCAAATAAGTTGTTTATCTTAAACCCATGCAGATAGATTGTATAATTTATCAACATGTGAACATATTTGGCTCAAAAACGTGTATGCTCAAACGACAAGCTCGGCTCGGCTCGACTAGAAAAATTTAATAGAGTTTTCGTACGAGCCGAGTCGAACATTGTTGTATGGAGCTCAGCTTTTTTGTGTCTGAGATCGACTCGAGCTCGAGTAGCTCGTTAATAACCCTTCATTCCCACCCCAAAGAAAATCAACAAATAAAAAACATATATGAAGGTACTGTAACCTGTACCTTGCCAGATTTGAGATCAGGCAGTTTGAATGAGGCAATGGTCTTTGTTGAAGGTACAATCTCCGTGAATGTTAATGTTGTAGCAATCTGCCAAATGAGTGATATTAGAAGGTGAAACAATATAAAGCGTATATCTGCTAACGCTTAGAAAAATCAAGATAGCGAGCAGCATACATTTGATTCTGTGTCAAGTTTGACATCAACTAATGTGTTCTTATATTTGTACACCGCTCCCACATCTCCAGTTGACAGACCGCCTTTCTTTGTTGCAGTTGATGTAAGTGCCTGCAATAAAGTAATAGAAGATCGATATAATGCATAATTACTTGAGCTTAGAGACAACAAGAATCGTTCACATTTGAAAGTTTTCACCAACAATTTGACAGAGTTGCTTCACACCTAGTATAAAGGAGCCAATGTCTTTCCTGGAGATGACTAAGGCTCTGTTCAGCAAACTAGCTGATATGCTAGTTGTTGGCTGTTAGCCGTTAAACTAGTCATGTTTGGTAAAAACTAGCTGATAAGCTAGTTAACAAAGTAAAATGATAAAAAAGTACAAGTTTTAAAACTAAATGCAAAAATATAAGGGGTGTAATTGAAAAGAAGTGGAAGAATCCCCTTGAGCTTATTGAAACGCTAGTTGAAGTAGTGTTTCAAAAAACTAGCTTATAAGTTATAAGCTAGCTTATGGCTAACCAAATGGGGTTTTTTCGATAAACTTCAAAAATAAGATAGCTTATGGTTGCCAAGCATGGTCTAACACATGCCCAATAATTTTCGAGGCTGCCATAAGTAGCTCTTTCATCATTATGTTTACACCCATTTCAATTATGAAGTAATGGAAAGACAAATCACAGAATCAATCGTGAAGGTTTATGTGTTGCAATTAAATATTATCGTTTTCTTTTTTTGGTAAAATATAGATATTTAATTATGAGCTTTAAAAAGGCACAACTCTCCTCTCACACCTGATGCTTTATATGACCTTTAGGTCTCAATGCAATTCGCCCAATCTCATGATCCAGATGAATGTAAGTATCAAACGGTTTGGAAACAAAAACATACACACAGATATAACCAACAAGAGTGAAATACAAAAGGATAAAATCTAAAAGTAAAAAAGTGTGAGCATATAAATCGATGGAGATAATTACCAAAGCATGAATTGAAAGCAATGGATCAAAGAAGAACACACAAAACCACAAGGGTGGTGCCTGATTGGTTTGCGCGTGGCTCCAAAGGTCAAAAGTACCAGGAGGTTCTAGGTTCAAATCCAAGAAGGAACAAAAATCCCCTTGTGGCCACGGAGGTTCAAATGCGGTGACTCCGGGCTATCTGCATAGCAGGTGGTCGCCCTGGGATTAGTCGGCTCGCATAGTGGGTTGGATATCCAGGTTAATCAAAAAAAAAAAGAACACACAAATCTTCTTCCTTTGAGAAATTTGCATGATAGCAAAGCAATCAAGATATATCTACAAGCACGCAAGAAACTTAAATTGGTTAAATTGTTAATTTGGGAAGTCAGTAGTTGGTTAAGATAGACTTTTCACAAAGTCTTACGAAAAGTAAGAGGTCTATACATAATAGTGTCCTCTAACTAATTCGGGGACATCCAAGGGCGATAATTGGAGGTATTGCTTTCTGTTTCTCTTTTTGTTGGTCTTAGAGTTGAAGTCTCAACATTGATTTGTTCAAGCTTTTATTACTCCATACCTTGTTCATTCACCGCATAACAAACAATCACTCAAACCACATTCTACAGTATCATTAAGGGTGCGTTTGGTACACTGGATAGAACAAAACAGAATAGGGACCCCTGTTCCATGTTTGGCATAACTTTTATGTGGAACAGAGTGGAACAAGGTAGAACAAGGTGAAAAAGACTTATATTTTACAAATATAATATCAAAATAAAACTTAATTCTCTTCTAAAACATCAAATAGGTCTCCTTTTTACATTTTATTCATTCTTTAAATTTTATTTATTGTATTTTATGTTTTTTAAACTTCCATTTTACTGTCCTCAAAATATTATTTTTATAGGGCTTCTATATGTTTATTAATTTATGTAATTTATTATATATTACTGATAAAAATTAATTTATAGAAGGGATAATATAAAAATTGGAAACTATATGAACTTTTTATTTTGGTGTCATTTTAATTGTTCGAAAACTTTCTAATGATATATTTTGTTATAAAAAATATTTTATTTATAATTTAATAAATTACATAAATTAATCAAAATATATAAACAACTCATTAGGAGTAAATTGGTCTCTTTACTAATTATGTTTAGTCCTATTCTGTCTTACCAATGCTGAACAATTGTTTTGTCTTGTCCAGTCTTGGACACCAAATGCACCCTAAGGGTGCGTTTGGTATGCAGACAAAACTGGAGGGGTGGGAGTGAGGTAAGCGGGTGAAAGAACTATCGAAGGTTTTAGGGTTTTGATATGGGTAGTTTAGTAATTTGTTAAGCTTGTCCAATGTTCATAATTTTTGTTCCATCTATTTTTGTGGGACAAAAAAAAAATGCATTTTTGTCCCACTCAGTTTTGTCTAGTCCCAAGCTAATTGTCTACCAAACATAGGAGTACAAGTTTGTAACAGTTAATATTAGCCCATATTATCTCACCACAGGGCTTCCTAGGGGGGTTACTGTCTATCGGTATCTCCAAAGTCGGTACCTGGAACTGACTCATAGGCATGAATTCTCTCTTGAATCATCTCTCCTTCCTTGAAAAATTTCTTCGCTATTTTACTTGATTTTTGGGATGATATTGTTGAATTTTTCTCAATAGCCTAGATAATTGTTAAAATATTATATTTTATATTTGGTTTACTTTGTGGGTTGTGCTCAAATTTTTATTGCCAAAAGGTGTTAAAGGTTATATTTATTATTGTTATATTCCGCATACTATACATCTAGGTACCGTTTTGCACGCATATACGATATGGCTTCTAGCTCACACACCAAAAGAACCGCCTAGTGGGTTGCTGCCCACGAGTGGGGTTTGCAATCCTTTTGGTGTGTGAACTAGAAGCCATATCATATATGCATGAAAAAAGTGTACATAGATGCCAAGTATGTGTAAAATCCTACAGTTCGGGACAAATTGGCATCCCACAAGCAAAATATAACAATAATAACAATGACCTCAACAACTTTTGGCAACAAAAATTTGAACACATACCACAAATTAAACTAGACACAAAATGCTATATTTTAACACATAACAAGGCTAGCATGGATAACCAAGAATACTATCTAAAGTTCAAGTAAAAGATCGAACAAATATTTCAAGGAACGAATGTTGTCAGTATAGAGCTCCGTAACATTGTTGCTTCAGCAAAATGTCTACTTCATCCTAACATTGTAGTCACAACCGTATTCTAGAAGACCCGAAAGTGACAGGAACCAAAAGACAAAATCAAGGCTTTTTTTGGAAAGAATGAGCAGAAGGTACGATGAAGATTAGAGAACAAAGAAAAGAAATCAAAGGAAATAAGGGAAAAAATGAAAAAGGAATGAGGGTTGACCCATACAATACTGTAAGCTTGAAGTGTACTTCTCTCCCCTTTTGAGTTACTCAAAAGAAATTCAGTTTGCGAGCTAAAGCATATTTTCTTTCTTCTAGAGAGATTATAAACAGGTTGTGTATAGCTAGTTTTTCAAAATGTTCACTTCTAGAGAAATTATAAAAATCATGTCAACCAGTATACTAAAGTTGGTCCATATGCTAATGGAAGACCATCTTTGTTTACCTAAACTGCAAATGTTCTTTACCAAAGGGGTAAGCCCAACCGGTGTGCATGAAGTGAAATAACATCAATAAGTATATCTATCAGAGCAGTGAAAAGAAAAACAAAGATGGAAATAATATAAGAAAGAAGAAGAAAGTAGTATGCATATAGACATATTTTGTAACTTTGGTCCCATAGACAGTCCATCTATTCCTAATTTCCAACAGAAATCAATAAAATTGATCAATTTATAGTCCTCTACTAGTTGAATTAATGGATCATCCAATTGGAAATGATAACAGAATGCATAGGTTGTTAGAAGAGGTTCTAACATACATATACATATTGTATACCACCTAATTACCATATTCCCTAATGTGGAAGAATCAAAATCAAGGAACCTGTAAATATTGGTAAAATATAATCATTATTAACTGAAAGACAAGATACACTTGGACCAGAAAAACCCATGCTCAAAAATATTTAAGCAAGCAAATTAAGGTGTAATTCCACTTGGCTACAGACCTAACGGTAGTGTAAATATACCAGCACAGCAACTAGAATTTTATTTTCTCTACACATTTCAGCCTAAATAAAACTGAGTCCTAAATCATTTGGCTTTCAATCACTCCTAAGGAAGCCAATTGAAGTCTACTTTTACCCACAAGTGACTTTAACTTGCACATATTCTTTATGTTTACCATAATAACAATAAATCAAACACGAAATTAACATATAAATTTACACAAAAATGCAAGTTAATAGGACTTAAAATCATTACAACCACGTCCTCTCCAAGGAACCAATCTGATAACAGACACGAGGTAGGAATCATATTTCCACTGAAAGTCAAATGTAGCAACTAGCAAGTGTTAACTAAAAAATCCCTAAAGAATAGCTCAAATCCATAGGCCACATCTCATAAAATCGCAGAATCAAGGATAATGATAGAAAAAAAAAGTGCAATCGATACATACAACTCCGGTAACACTGGTCGTTGAAACAGAAAACTTCTGAT